CCACGGATACGGCACATGCAATGAAGAAGGCGAACGCATTCTAGAGTTCGCCACAGCGTACAACCTAGCATTAGTCAACGCGCACTATATCTAAAAGCATTAACACCTGATTACGTATTCAAGTGGAGACCGTCTAACACAAATTGACTACTGGGCAGTGCGTTACAATAACTTAAGAAACATAAAGGATTAAGTTATCCCAGGTGAAAGCTGTATACCTCAGCATAAGCCACTACTTCTATACCAAAAATTCCGGTTGAACGACAAAGAAACCAATGACTAACAACAAAGCACGAATCAAGTGGTGGAGAAAGAAAACTTATCTAGCCAAAGAAGCTCTGATAAGTACTCTGCCGGTCTTATTTGAGAAACCAGAACAGTTATGGTCAACCTTGAAGCGTAACGTGCATCAGGTAGCAAGGAGTTTACTGGGTCACACGAAGCCAAGAAGAAGAGGAATAGACAAAGAAACTTGGTAGTGGAACCATGAGGTTCAAACGGTGATTAAGGAAACGAGTCAGGCATACAAGCAATGGCATAAGTCGAAATAGGAAAGGGATCGACAGTTGTACCTAAAAGTGAACGCTGCAAAAACATGTGTCAAGAAAGCGAAGAAAGCATACGTAGAAGAGCTGTATGAGAAATTGGAATCTCGTGATGGAGAGCGCGACATATACCGAATAGCGCGAGCGACGGCTGAGTCCGCAAGAGATATGGAACACTTCTACTATGTAAGGATAAGCTTGAAAAAACGTTAAGACACCACAGGAAATAACTGAAAGATGGCGAACGTACTCCGAAGAAATGTCGTCTACTACCAGCATTGGCACAACCGTCCCAGCTGACCCTATGAATGGACCAGTGCCACTTATAACAACAAAGAAAGTATTGCTTACTATAGCAAGGACAAAGAACGGTAAGGCTTCTGGTCCAAATGACATACCAAGCGAATTCTGGAAAGAATGCGGATGGCTCGATGCCTCATGACTTGCAGGTCTCTTCAATCAGGTATCAAAGCTAAAAGCATGCCCCATGATTGGTCAAAAGCACAACGATTCTGATATGGAAAAATAAAGGCGATATCGCAGATTGTTCTAACGTATCAGCCAATCCGGCTGATGAGTCACGATCTAAAGATCATCGAGAGAGTACTTGAAACACGACTTCGAGCGATCATAGAGTTGCCATCCATTCAGTGCGGATTTGTATATAGTGCCGGTACTGCTGACGCCATACTGTACGAGGAGTGATGGAGAAGTATAGAGAAGAAAGAAGAGAGCTGCATGCGGCTTTCCTTGATATGGAGAAAGCTTGACAAGGTACCCCATGATGTCATATGGT